TGAATGTTGTGAAAAGTCCAAAAAGCATCTTAAACAGGTGATGCAATTATGCTTGAAATAAAAAGTGTGTTCAGGAAAGGCCCAGCTTTTTATGAGCAAGGATGGGTTAAGGCTCGCCACTTTGCCAAGTATGAATCAGCAAAAAAAGCATTTTACATTATATAGTCCATAATTACATCAAAAGATTCAGGGAATCCGAAGAAATCTATGCATGTTAAGGGCAAGACTGAAAACCACTACTGAATGCCCATGACCTTTGACCCCCCTCAGACGGCACTGTATTCAAACCGGCATGCTTCTGTGATGGAGCTCACTGTATGAGTTTTAGAATACGTTGTCCATAAACATTGTCTGTAAGACAATAATGCACAGTGGAAGTCAGTTGACAACACACAAAAACGCTGCTGACTTCTCTGGGCCCAAGCACACATGACATCCACTAATGCTCAGTGGAAACATGTATTGTGGTCTGATCAGTCACCTTTCAGATTTTTAATGGAAATAATGGACATTGTGTTCTCTGGGCCAAAGAAGTAAAGGATCATCCAGATTGTTTCCAGCATATAGTCCAGGGTCTGTCATGGTATGGGGGGGGTATTAGTGGGTAACTTGTACATCTGTGAAGCACCATTAGGTCTTAACATACTTTGGAGCAACATATGCTGCCATTTAGGCACCATCTTTTTCAGGGATGTTCATGCTTCTTGCCACATGATAACACCAAACCACATTCTGCATGTCACAACAACATGGCTGCACAATCAGAGAGTGCAGGTGCTAGATTGGCCTTCCTGATCTTTGATTACATCACCATGTGAGTGGGAAAAAAAATATTGACCAATAAGATCATGTTTCACCTCCCTTTGCCACTTATGATCTAGTGAAACACTCAGCCAGCTCAGAGACACTCCATGATTTTGTGGCTTATTCTGAAATATGGTTTCCGATTCATGTTGAATTTAAGTGGGTTGCCAGATGTGCTGAAATAATGTGAAACTACATAAAATTAAATTCAGAGGCATACTGTGTGAACTGAATTCAGTCTTCACTTGTTTTTCTTCTGGTTTGGGAGAGAATGTAAGAAAAGTGCCAGGCAGTTATAAAAGAGTATAAAAATAAGTGATGAATTCATGTGAATACATTCTTAAACTGGCTCTGTGCTCACCACATGAGGGCACTCTAAGAATAATCATTTGAAACAGACCACAATATGCATGTCCAGTTTTGTTTTTACACTCTTCATTTAACGCATAGCCACCAATAGAGAGTAGTATGTAGGAACTCCAGAACGTCTGAAGATACAGATACTAAAGCCTTTACTTCACTGGCGGCCTGGAACGTATTTGGAGTCATTATTTAACCTATTCAGGCTCTGCCCACATATGTGTTCTTTCATAGCAACTGCTGTGAGACTGGACTGCTTTATAGAACATTGGAAAAATTATTCAACTTAATGAACTTAGGCTGGATTTTAGATTCCCTACATAATACTGAGTTTCCGGTTTAAAACGCTGCACCACTGAGCTGGATTATGCTGTTGAAGCTACTTGAAAATAGGCAGGAAACAACAACGAACTTGCAGATAACATCAGCTTGAATACATAACCAAAACTGCACCATATCTATTCTAACAGTCTCATCTTTCTCAGTAAGGGCTTCTTGACAACTACACATCCTTTCAGACTCATAGTGTTGAGTTGTCTTCCCACAGTGGAAGGATGGACAGAAACGCCTGTGGACTTTTCTACATCTGAACCAAGAGTGGAGCTTGATTTTCTCTCAAAGATGTAAGCTTTAAAGGGGAATTCCACCTACTTTTTTCAAAAATTCAGTATAATTCAGTGGTTGAGATATAAACTGTCATTTAGAGTGGCCTGATTAAAATGGCTCATTTGCAGAGAAACTTACCAACTCCGGTTTCTTTACAGTGGTGATAGGAACCAGGGGTCCTAATGTCTATAACATAAATATAGACATTTTATTTACTATCCAAAACCACTAGTGAACCTACACGTCTCTTCTGAGTTTTTATGTAAAGTTGATGATAAAATAGTGGTCAATCTGAAAAAATATGTTTTCTCTGGGGACTATTTTGCCTTAGCACACTCTCATGTATCTCTCTACCAGGAATGGATTAAAATAAATTGATTAAAAAACTTTATCACAAAACTACCGTAAAACAACATCTCAGATATCAGGCAGTGTTCACATAACCATTTCATATGATAACTTTCTATGATGGAGCTTTAGAGGTGGACGTCTGGTTCCTATTACCACCACTCTGAACAATTCTGACCTGTAAGTTTCCCTAGAATGGAGCGTTTCACACCAAACAACTCTGAATGACTATCTTAACCATTTAATTATGCGGAACTTAGGAAAAATTGGTTGGAGTTCCCCTTTAAGTACTGTTTATCTGATAGGGACAGTTTTGTTGGTGTACCAGGCCTTGCACTGTTGTTTGGAGTCTCATTTTCTCAGTATGTTTTCATCATTTTTTTGAACTCCAGTTTTGGAAGCTCTTGTTTTTCAGTTATTATCCTTTGACTTTCCTTTTCGTTATGGAAGTGGATTATAAATAAACGAAGAGTAGTCTCTGACTTTTGCACAGTAATAGCATGTTACTATAAAAGAATATATATTTGGGTAGAGCACTAGTAGGTCAGTTCAGCAAAATATAATAATTTCTTGGAATGGATTCCAGAGTTAAAAATGGTTCCAGAACACAATAGTAGTACTCTTAATGACTCTCTCTCTCTCTCTCTCTCTCTCTCTCTCTCTCTCCATGTACATATGAATGCACATCCATACAGGTGGAGAAATATGAACTCAATGGCTTATTTACAAATCCCTGCAAATGTCAGAACGCTCCTCATTCTCTATCACCAAATATAAGCCACCAAATCTCTGTTAGACAGTCCAATAATGCCATATGAAATGCAGTTATGGGTTCTTAGTCACAGGCTGTTATGAGCTCTTAGTGATCCCCTGCTTTTCTGATGACCTCCTCTCTGTTTACTAAGAGAATAATGTACGGACGTTGGTCTTATTATGTCTGATGCCAAGAAAGGTCAAACTTGACTGATTGATGTGTGTCAAAGCTGGGGAAGGTGACAGACATTCTTGTGCCTGTCACCAAAGAGAGAAGAGAGGAGGACAGGAGAGAGGAGGAGGAATACATTCCGGTATAATCCCTTGCATTTGTGTGTATATTGGCATCTCTATTGAATAAACCTTTGGTATAAAAGGAACAAAGGGGGCTGTTAGGCGTACAAACTGACATGTCATCTTTAAAGGGCCCGCGTCTTAAACTTTTCTTGCCCATTTATGATGTTTGTGCAGTTTTATGTACCCAAAACAGTCATAATTTACTTTTACATGACCGCATTCCTACCTCTGTCACTTAGAATTAAAGCCCCGAGCCATCACATGGGTTTGTTTAAATTCATCAGCAGCACATTTGATTTAGCATAATGAAGTACTTATTAATCAAACTAGGTATTGGATGAAAACTTGAGGAGGTGCTTATTTAAGGACAGCTTAAATAAACACATTGACATATGTGAAATTGCTACTTGTTGTACTAATATTATTTGTATTTGTTCTAATATTAGTGTTTTTCTGAGCAATTAAATGCTTAATGCCCAGATATTCTTTAATCCAAATTTTCTCAGGTGCCCAAATCATTTTTACAAATGACTGTATGTAAATGTGTTGGCTTTTGTGACATCACAAAAACTATGAATTCAAAACGGGTTGTTTTGGCAGCCTAATTTCCGAAAATGTACCGTGTAGACTGGAGGAGTGAACAGTTTTGAAACGTTAACAGTGTTTACATACTACATCAAAGTCTTTATTTCAAAAAGTGAGTCCTTTAATTGCAAATACTCACTCTACTTTATTTGACAATGGAAATGTGTGGCTTAATAAAATAGGATCTATTAATAAGGTATAAATACAAACTAGTAGCCACAAGTTAGCGTGATTCCACTTCCATTTAATTAGGCCATACAACATTTTTTATTACTAATGAGCAGAACAGAGCAGAACTGAGCAAATGTTGTATGTCATTCAAGTTACAGCTTTAGTGCTAAAGTGGCTAACTATAAATACAAACTTGTAGCCACCACGCTGCTGGAAAAACCAGCATAGACCAGCATGGACTGTCACCAACAAAACCAGCATATGTTGCCCTTTGGATGCTGGTATGCTGGTCAGCAGCAATGGAAGTTAATGATGATCACCAGCAAAACCAGTATATCGCTGTTGTCTGAACAAAACCTCGTATCTCCTAAATGGTAACTTTACAGGAGAAGGAAAAAACATACTTTAATTTCAATGTAATCAATAGAACCAGACATTTTTCAAGTAATTTTGGTCCATTTCTTTTGGTCCATTCATCATGAAATTTTAACACAATGTAAAGAGCAACAGACATTTTCCTATTATGTCAAAAGCTGAATGGAAAAATGGAGATATGAGGTTTTGTTTCTGACAGCAGTGATTCACTGTGTTTCGATGCTGGTATACTGGTCAATCAGTATGACCATGCTGGGGTGACCAGCTAAACCAGAATCAGATTACACCAGGATAAACCAGGATTAGACCAGGATTAACCAGCATAGACCATCTTATACCAGCATGAAATACTGCTGTTTTTTAAGCAGTTAGCCTGATTCTATTTTCATAATGCTGGTGGTGGCTCTTCACATTCATTATTAGCAACATTTACAATTTTGACTTTACTGTAAAAGTCCTGTAAAAGACCTAAGAAGCAGTTGTGTTAAGCAGACTGGCCTAAAACTAAACATACAAATTTGTTGCCACTAGTTTGCATGATTCCATTTCCTTTTAATTAAAATAAGGCTATATAGCTTTTTTGGTGTACCCTTCCTTTTGTGATGCTCTTGTAATAGCTTCACATTAGCTTTGCCTACAGACATCTACAACTCCAGATGTCAATGAATAGAACTGAATGAATAAAACAAAAATGAAAGACAGATTAGAAACACAGTGTTTATTCAGGGAGTCAGTAATACAGTAGTCCACCAAGCTTTCACATTCAGATTAAACAGGCAGCTTTTGAGGCTGCCCTAGTACACCAATCCTAAACAGGCTCTACTGAATTTGGGCAGAACCACCAAAAGCTATGTGACAGACAGTGCCACAGACACACACACATCTACTACCAACACACTTTCAGCATCATTTTCAGTCTGCTGATTACTTACGGTAACACTTTACTTGAACCCAGCTACATAATGCTGACATAAGCATACCAGAAACATGTCATGGTGTATGTCATATTGTCGCTGTCCAAAGAAAGACGTATTTCCATTATTGCAGATTTTTAGTTTTCTATGCCATTTGAACACGCCAGTTGTCCTTAAATTGTGTGAAAATTTTGAATGGACCAATAGAAATGCTCCAAAATCACTTAAACGTCTTTAAATTAACTTAGCTCTCCTGTAAAGTTACCATTTTGGAGATACTTGTTTTTCTTTGGACATATGCTGTCATGAGAGATTTTGTTCAGTAATACAACAGTGTCATGTTAATATTGACCTTAATAGTGTACTCTAGCCATCATGACATCAAACTTTTGAACATTACCAGTAACATGACACAATTATATAAATGAACAAAACCATGGCATATTTATAGCAAGGTCAATGTTCTGTAGCAGCATTCAAGTGGTACCTTGTATTTTTTGTATAGTACATTGTCATAATTTCAGCCTCCACTATCTTTCCACTCAAAAACCCCAACCCATCATAAAGAGATACATTGCTACACTAGATTAGCACAATATTAAGACACTGATGTCATGCATTGAGAGACTAGGAGTCTAGCATACAATTTTGGCTCTATAATGAATTTTGTACTTAACAAGTCTGTGCTTTATGATCGTAATGGCTTCCATGTTTGTTATGTTTGGTCCAACATTTCTCACTACTGGTTTTTATAGACAACAACCACAAAGCAGATACTGATATTAGTTACCATAAACGACCCACGTACTTGGTGGACATTTTGTACTTCAGCGTCAGACCCAGTATCTACTAGTCTTTTGCTGACCATTTACTCTGTGGGATCCACAGGCTGCGGAGTGAGTTACTGCGGAGTGCTATCACTGACACTATAATGCATAGAAAGCAATATTAGTAGTATTGATTGTAATGATATTGCTTACTGCAATAATTTTACTCTGTTAATACACCTCAGAATATGTAGTTATCTGTGTAAGGTAATGTTACTAAATGAGCAGATACTGAAATAGGTCATGAAATAGGTCATTAAAGGAACAGCTTTAGCAAACATGCTAAAATGGCTAACTATAAATACAAACTGGAAGCCACCAGTTAACATGATTCCATTTTCATAATGCTAAGTGGTGGTTTGTCACATTCTTTTATTGTTAGCTACACTTGCAGTTTAGACTTAACAACTCCTTTAAAAGACCTAAGTAGCAGACTGGCATGAAGTAACAATAGGAAGAACACATCCATATCAGGGACTCTGTAGTGTAGTGATATGGTTTGTTCTAGAAAAGAAACAGATGTTCTAGAACAGTTAATTTTTTTAGAATATTAGAAGTTGTACAGCTGTGGTTCCCAACCCTGGTGCTGAGGTACCCCCGTCCTGCACATTTTAGTGTTTTCCTGACCTATCACCGACCATATCAATTATCTGATTGGTTGGATCAGGTGAGTTAGAGCAGGAAAAACATTGAAATATTGTCAGTGTTGTAGAAGTAATTTTGGATTCTTCTGTTTCTATTGGTCCTTTCATCATAAATGTTCATACTCCACCCTTAGAGGGACACTCAGGCCAGACTAAGAAACCCCCCCCTTCTGTCTTGAAGGTGGGAGGAACTTCTGAAAAACTACAACTGCTTTGGGGTGGATGTTTGGGGACGGGCTGTTTGAAACGTGTTGTCTAGCTTCTTAGCAGTAACGTTAGCTTCATTAGGCCAGCTAGCAAACAAAAGGCACATTTCAAACACATATAAATGTCTGCAAGCCCTCCAGCATTTGGTCTGTATGGCCCCCAAAACTCCACTCCAAAGCAGCCGTAGTGTTTCAAAAGTTCCTGTGATCAATTGATGTCATCAGAAGGAGATTTTCCTAGTCCTTAGTGTCCTTTTAAAAAATAAAGGGACCTAAATGGTTCTTGGTTTGGCTCTGCTTCTAGGAAAAATTACATTGAATTAATATAGAACCTTTACATTTAGTGGAACACCTTTGACCTTCTTGAAAAAGGTTCTTCACACTTTTTTGACATTTTTAAGACTACTATTTTTAAGAGCAGATACAAAGGGCAGCTGGCATTTTTCAAATGGTTTAGATAATAAATGAAAAAATGACAAAAAGGCAGGGCAGGGCTAAATCAGGCCCAGGTTTGGGGTCCAGTGCTCATGATTCAGGAAGATAAGGAAGATGATTCAGGAGAGAAAGATTCTAGAAGCCGCTGCCGCTGCCCTCTGTATCATGAATGGGAACCGAACGTTTGCGCAGCACTGAATTTGCATTGCTGCTCCGGGTCTGTGGGGGGGCTGCAGCAGCGTGTGCACAGGGCGCCCGGTACTGAGGCAGGCCGCTTTTGGTGGTGTCCAGCTCATCTGGGTTGTCCTTCTGTGCTCTCAGGGCAGCAATGACGTCACGGTCTGAAGGGCTGAGGGTTAAACAGCCACAGCCATGACCTTCGACCCTGTCTTCCTCCCCGGCCTCATCCTCCACTGTCATGAAGGCGTCACCCCAGAGACTCTCACACAGGTCCCGCCCATGCTGATACATCTGCCAGTCACACACACACATACACACACACAGAAACACGGTTATACTACTGTCCTAAAGCGTGGAATCACCTCTAGTTCCTAAAAACTGAGCCGCATTCAAAGCCATTGTAAAGTATTTAATATAGACACACCTATGGCCGCCCCACAACAACTGGATTCTGTATTAACACAGCAGTTATTGCTAAAAAAATATTGATCTGTGACCGTTAATCTGCATTTATATGACAGTAGATGGACGACGGCAAACCAGATATTCCATTGATTTCAACAGAGCAGTGACAGAAAATTCTACTACTGCCAGGCACATCAGTCCACTGACTGCAGTGATAAGTTCTGTCAAGAAGTAACTTTCCTACAGCAGTGAAATAAACTGGCCGTTGATTTGGGAGCCATGAACGCCGTATAGCTCATTGCTGAAGTCGAAGATCCCCCAGTATTATACAACAATAAGGTAAAAGTGTGCAGAGCATCCTGTTTCCTTTTTTCACTTTAATTATGGAATAAGCTTTCCTTTGGTAATCATTTATTTTCACTGGTACCGCTGTCACCATGGCAACATTTCCAAGGCTGCATGCTGCTGTCGGTGCGTGCCACCAGTGACCCTTCTCCATGGGGAGATGATGTAAAAAAGGTCTTAACAAATAGGTGAAAATATAACAGTCTAAATGGGCTAAATGATAGCTAACAGGCCAAACCTATTCTCCATTAATATTCAGTGTTCGGCTTTGATTTAAAACCTTTACTGAAATCACTTGCTGGTACTTACATGGATTCTACAGTAGTTTTTTACAATTCGACTTCACCAGTCATTTAAGTGATCTATAATCATGTAATTCAAGATTTTTTTCAGCCACATTTCTTCCATAAAGTTGACGGTTCTAATTATTAAGTTCAATCTTATCTGTTTGTTAATATAACTCCGTTCAGATTATGTTTACACTGTTTATATCATATTATATCTTGATGTTGTTTTTTTCCACCTATGTAACTGTGAACCTGAGTTTACCAATCATGTTGAATGCTGCTAATGCCTTGCTGCTATTACTCATGGCTAGCATTTCCCCCTGAATCATGTTGGTTTTGTACATGCAAGCATGTTGTCCTGAGCCTTAGCTCATGAGTTATCAGTTGTTTGCCCTATGTGTTTTAAATTTTCTTGTGTTAATTGCCTGTGATCATCTGGATAATGCTGTGATCTGGCAAACATTCATGTAGCTGTGTAGCCTTTACTAAAACGTACATGGTGGCTTTCTGTGCTTTTAGGCCGCAGCTAGGGCTGGGTAATAATCTGAATTTTGACTGCGATTGTGAAAACAAGATAATTGAGATAAAACCATTATTGTGCCATTATTTTTTTTATATATATATATATATATTAGTTGGAACTAAACCTTGTATTTCCAAAATTATAACTTGACAGGAGAAGGAAAAAACCTTCTTTACTTTTAATGTAAGTCAATGGAACCAGACTTTTTTCCAAGCAATTTCTTTTGGTCCATTCATCATGAAATTTACACACAATGTGACGGCCAACAGACATTTTCAAATGATCTCAAAAACTGAAAAATGTCTTTTTTTAGGTTTATTTTTGAATTTACTTTTCAGTTGAATTGTTTTCAAAGTTCAAGGAAATCCACTGTTAAAAGAAAAGCTTTTAAAAAAAGTTCAATGAAAGCATTTTTTTCATAATCAATGAGTAATCATGTTAAATAATGAGATCTCAATATTTATCAAAATAATCGTGATTATGATTTTGCCATAATCAAGCAGCCCTAACTACAACTGCTCATAACTTCACTTGACAACTAGAGCCACTGCTGTACTCTACCCCACCTCATGTCCATACCAGCTCTACTACTGATTACCATCTCCTTTCATGACTTCCTATCATGCTTGAATGACTTGTTATCTCAGTAAATTCAAAGTATCATTCATTCTCTAATTATCAACATTAATATGACAAGTGGTTCCAAACTTTTGAATGTCAGTGTACATGCATCATGCCAATAAACAAACAGTTTCATGTGGGTAAACAATAACAAGTGTTGTAAACAAAGCCCATCTGTGCCACATTCGGTGTCATTAGACGGACAGCACTGACCAACCCACTGGCATTTTAGCCTGCTTTTTAAAGTAGACAACAAAAATGAATGACTGTGACACAGATTTAGACAAGACTGACACATTAGTCATCAACACTTTTGTTTTTTTGTTTTTTTTAAATAATACGCCGGCAGAATAACAGGATTTTTGGGGTTTGGGGCCTTTTAAATAAAGTGCTAAATGCAGCTTTATTGGCATCAGAATTTAAAGCAGCTTCTCTAATTTAGGAGCAAAAATAATCTGAAAGAAAAACAGTTAATCTAATTATACACATCATCACTGCACAGGCCATGAAATTGCAGAGGTACATTCAGGAGCCATATTTGTCTGTATGCTTTATTATTCATGTTTGATGAGTATTTTCTTGGATTTATGTCTTGTGGAGTCTATAGTCTCAAAGTGATGAATTACTGCTCTGGGTAACTGTTAGTCAAATGGAATGAGATTTAGCTGCCTGATCTAAATGGTTGATTTAGTGATGCTTTATTATAAAGCACTGCTTTGATCTCTTTTCATTTAATGGTTTGAAGACTGATCTTCCTGAGCTTAAGCGCCGCCAGCGTCGCCTCACATTCTGGCTCGCACTTCAGCACTGAGGAAAAAACACACCAAGATTCTCCACTGCAATGCCAGGCCACCAAACGATACTGCGTTTCTCTGTTTCTCTCTCTCCTTTCTGTCAGACTGTCTCTCTCTATTACTTTTTCTGTTTCTCCCTCTCTCTCCTTTGTGTCAGATTGTCTCTCTCTATCACTTTTTCTGTTTGTCTCTCTCTTCTTTGTGTCAGACTGTCTCTCTCTATCACTTTTTCTGTTTGTCTCTCTCTCCTTTCCATCAGACTGTCTCTATCACTTTCTGTTCCTCTCCTTTCCATCAGACTGTCTCTTGTTCTCTGTATTACTTTCTGTTTCTCTCTGTTGCTCTTTCTCTTTATTGCATTCTTTCTCTCTCTCTCTCTCTCTCATACGCTCTCTGTGTCTCTCTCACTCACTGTCTCTCTCTCTCACACTCTTTCTCTCTATTGCTCACTCACTCTTTCTCTCTCTCTCACCCTCTCACTTTCTTTCTCTCTTTCTCATTCAGTCTTTCTGTCAATCTTTATCTCTCTGTCTATCTCACTCTTTCTCTCTCTCTGCCTGTCTTTCTCCCTGTCTCACACACTCTTTATCGCACTGTCTGTCTGTCCCTCTCTCTCTCTCTCTCTCTCTCTCTCACTCATTCTTTCTCTCTCCTTCTCATTCACTCTTTCTGTTACACTGTCTTTCTATACACTGCTCTTTCTCTCACTCTGTCTGTCATTCTCCCTGTCTCACACTCTCTCTCTCTCTCCCTCTCTCTCTCTCTCTCTCTCTCTCTCTCTCTCTCCGCAGTGTCAGTCAGGATGATGTTTGCTGCTTGAAAGTGAACAGAAGTATCAGTGAGTGTCTGCTGGCGTGAGAGACTATGAAGTATAAACTCACTCACACAGTGAAGTGAGGCTGTGAGCAGATCGGAGGGGGCGAGGGTGACAGCGCTGGCCTGAGGGGCCACACGCACAGACTGCAGCAGTGGAGCTGTGAGTGTGAGCTGTGTTGTGATCAGGGCAGACAGTCACCTCAGGGTCAAACTCATACTAGATCTGCTTAATCTCACAAAACCCGTCCTGCTCTTCATGCCCTCCCGAGGACATCATTACTGCGGCTGAGGAAGAGGAGTTTCCTCTCTCTGACACTCAGCTCCTCACTGAGCCTTCATCTCTCACACTGTAACACCTGTACAAACACATACATCCACAATGTCTGCCATTCTGGAAGGATTTGTGTACTGTAAGCAGTTAGTCAGTCATTAATGATGTTTATGATGGAAAAAAGTTGGCAAATTGTTCACTTATAAGATTTACTTGGTTACTGTATTTTTCTCTTTATTTTTACTTTGTTTGCCCTATTTTTTACTGTTCTTTACTTTATTTGTTTTTTTTTACTTTATGTTTACTTCATTTTGTACTGTGTTTTAATTTTGTGTTTACTTTTTTAATAAACAAGTTTGATGACATTTTAAACTGCATTCAAAACAACATACTACACTAATGAATGGACTTCTATTAGTGGTGTAATATTTTTGGCATACTATTTAGTGTGGTAGAATGCGGTTTTAGATGCAACTTTAGTTTCATGTACGGTTCACTCCACAGTCCATATCGTTACTGTTAGAACAAAAACTCATATCTTTATACAATAATTTTTTTTATTGTTTTTTTTGACATACTAGCTGGCCTTCCATTGAATATATATTACTGTGACAGGTGGATCAACACAAAAGGGAATAAAAATTACTTTGAATAAATTATTTTTATCTTAGTTAAAGGGCCAAAATGCAAAAATGAACCATTGCTACATATGTTGCAAACTTTCTTTCTCGCCTCCTGCTGCAGTGCCACAGTAGCCTCAAGTGCCACAGTAGCCTCATCCCATTTCACCCCTTGACTCTACCACTTGCCCATTACCCCTCCGTTTGGCGTGTTCATGCCTAGGGGTAGGGTGTCCCGATTTTTGTTGAGATAGAGATAAGAGTTAGGGCTACATGGCCCTCCAAACTGAGGTTTTTTAGTAGCACACTCCAAACAGAGTGTTATGAGAAAAAAAGTAAAACCAGCAAGATGGCTGCGCAAGCAATCAAAGAAACACACAAATGTGAATATTTTCTCCAGTAAAATTACAATAACCATTGTACTGTCTTAGTTTAACGTTGTTTCAATGTATTTTGGTCCTTTTTTCATTACAAGCTTAAAAAATCACTAGTAGTACACCGATGTCTCGGTAGCTAGCTAGCTAAATTTCCCTTTCCACGTTAAATAGTCCAGCAGTTGTGATGCCTGAAGCGTCAGAATGTAACTGCTGCTCGATTTAAGGTAGAACA